GGTGTCTTGATGTTTTGGTTCAGAAATGCCAAGTTCCTGCAGACCGCCCGTTGCTTGGAAGAGGAGATGTTTTCCAGGGAGGGCTCACCTTTGGGATTTGCCATGCTGGTGGTAAATCCACACAGCAGAAGACCTCTGTTGCATATTCACAGCTGACACTTTTTGGATGGCATCTCATTATTTAAATTATTTTTGCAGTAATGATACAAAATGTCCAGTATATATATATATTTTTTTTTAATCTAAATAACAAGATGTTCACGGCTTCTTTGTAAAATGCCAAAATTAGGATCTTTGTTTTCTTACACTGCCGGTGGGAGAAGGAAACCTCCCCATCAGATCCAGGGCACTAAATTGGACATGGACTGTGGATCATCTTATGGAGGAGCGTTCCTGTTTAGCCTCCTATCTTAACCTGAAATTAGATGCAGAAGTGGTTGGTGTGAGTACACCCTTCCGTGCCTGTAGCATTATTTCCACTTCACGGATGAAGAGGCCAAGATAGTCATCTCAAGCAGAAGGTTGAGGAGAGTCATCTGTAGGCAGAGCCCCTGAGTTGTGGTGCCCTGGGGCATTGCATGCTGCCTGCTCCAGCTGGGATCAATGAAGGCTGCAGTGGGTTTGAAACTTGAGGCCAAAGTGACCTCAATTTTGTGGTCCTTTCATGTGCAAAGCTCTCATTGACAATGAAGCCAGCAGAGGATATGCAACAGAGGGGTCTGCTCTCCAAAAGAGGGGAGTGAGGATGTGCTGTCCCTTCACCTGCCGTTTCTGCCTCCTGCTACAGGTTTGCTTACACACCATCCAGGAGAGCACCAGCAATATTTGTATTGAATCTCTTGAGTGCTGGGCCTTGCAGAGAGTGCAGGAACAGACCTGGAGTGTGTTCACTAGGCCCTTACTGAGAGGGCTCCAAAATCCTGTACACTCCACTTTGACTCTCCCAGTCATAGACCACATTTGGGTCCATCTCATAACACATCCATCTCGGGATGTGCTTAGGAACTGGAAACTTTGGCATTTCTAATCTTGACTTTATCTATACGGGTGATTCAGATGTAATTGCTTTTACTGGGGCTCAAGAAGGTCTCCTCCATGCCCAACCCTGCTGCTGGTGGGATCTGCTGGTCTTTTCTCTGTTTGCCAGCTCTATAATAGCTGATCTGATCCTGTTTCTGCTTCTGCCATCCACTGGATGAGAAATAATTTCCTTCGGTTAGAAGACTAATGCCTTTGTTATTTATAGAATTTCCTGATACTGTCTTATCCAACTGTTACTCTCGTTTTACAACGTATGAACTTACACCTCTTAAGCAAAGAATAAGCAGGAGAAAACCCACCAAAAAAACGTGAAATGGAACTTTATATTGAAGTCAAGACGCAGTGATGGACAGCTTCTGTGCAGCAGCAGGCCCCAAAGTGCTACCCACGGAGAGGCTGCAAGATACAGCCTGTGTGGGCAACCTCTCCTTGTAAAGCCCAGTCCATGCTGTGGGAGGAGGGATGTGGAGCAGAGGGTGAGATGGTGTGAGCCAGGGCAGCAGAGCTGCGGCACCGACCACCGTGCCTGATCCCCAGAGATCTGGTAACCCTTCCTTGCAGGAGGAGATGGCCGCTGGGCAGGACCCGGCCCTGCACAGCTGGCACACAGGCTGGTGCAGCCCCCAGTGTCACCCGACAGCCCTTCCCCTCTGTCCCCCTGGACACAACCACCAGAGATGTGACACGGAGCCTGCTGCTGCCAGGGGAGAGCTCCTGCTGCCTGCTGAAGACACTGCTTTGGGGCAGCGGTGATGGACACAAGCCATGAGCAAGCTAACCATGACTTCTTTATAAAGTTTCCTGCTGCTGACTGTTCCTCTGATGCCAGCATGCTTTTGGGGGACAGAAAACCAGTCCCACCATGGCCCCTTCCTCTAGTCTACATGCCTGTCCTGAAAGGAACAAGGGGAGAAACACAGCTGAGCTTTGCTGATCCAAAAAACATCTTGCTAGCAGGTAGCTACTGCTGATGGGCTCATGCCATCACTCTCCTGACTCAGCCACCTCTCTGGGCCAAACCTTCCAGCCTCTTCCCAGCAGAACCAAGTTTTCCTGAAATAATTATGCAGTTTGCTAGTGTGAGGCTTTTTCCCTGTGTGGTGCCTTACCCCTCGGTGCCCTTTGAGCCCCGTGGTCCCTCAGGGCAGGCACTGGACCAGTGGAAATCTTTGCTGGAGAAGCCAAATCAGCAAAGTGCAGCAAGCCCCAGTCCTGCAGGCTTTGCACATCCGAGGCATCCAGCTATGTGGTGTGGATGTGCAGGGAAAGCAAGATCTGGGTCAGAGGGACAGCACAGACACGTGAAGATGCCTTCAGCCTAGAGCAGTGGTTTTCAGCCTGTGGGCTGCAGGCTTCTAGAAGCCCCAGTGTTGTGCCAAAGGTGGAATAATTATCCCAAAAAGGCAAACAAAATTCATGTCCTAGCTACAGCCACAGGTGGAAAACCACTGGCCTAGGAGACTCCCCTCACTGGAGTCACTCGGGAAGTTGGCGTGGATGAACAAGTCCTCCCCAAATTCTTTGTGCTGTGTGTGTTGTCATTGCACGGAGACAGCTGCCCACCCTGTCCTGACTGTCATCTCTTGTCACCCGCAGCAGAGGAGCTGATGGAAATGGATGATTCAGGCTCAGTGTACGCTGGCATTCTCAGTTACGGCACTGGCTTTGTTCTCTTCATCCTGGTGCTGGTCATTGTGATTATCTGCAGGATGAAAATGCCAAACAAAAAAGCCATGAACACCCCCACTGTACAGAAAGTCTCCAAATTTCCACTCAAGAGACAGGTAACAGAAAGTAGATACAAGATTCCTATTCCCCACTATGGTTGTCCCTTCACCACCCCTATGCCCCCACCCTTGAAATTTTCTCCCTAGGTGAGAAGGTCTGCCTGAAAACATTGCCTAAGAGGGACATGAGTTGGCTGCAGCCTAGGAGTTTAACACCTATTGTCTGCTCATTTCTGTTCTAGTGGAGCAGTAGCTGGTGGCAGCTGACTCTGATTCATGAGCAGCTCCCAAGCAGCCACATTTCTGTCATCCATGTCCCAGAGGGGCTGGCAGTGCAGCTGTGGATGCCACAGAAGGGACATCTTGCAGGGGAACAGTTTAGTCCAGGCTCTTTGGTGGAGCAGGGATCTGGAGAGCAAGACCACTTAGCTGTGCTACTTTCTGCTTTCACAGAGATCTCTGATGAACCCAAACCAGTTCCAAATGGAGGTGATGGAAGGTCCTCTTTCTCCATACAGTTAGAGATGCTCTGCCACATGTAGTTGCAGAGGAGCAGGAGCAAAAGACACCATGTAAAATCACATAGTGATGGACACGGATTTGATGGCTTTTGGCTGCAAGCTCGTGGTGGGCATTTGAAGTGCCAGAACAGAAGTCACTCTGTAGCCTGTATGTGCTATGGAGATGCACATAGAGCAGATGAACAGGTTATACCTCCTGCCTGCTGAAGGACACTTGGCTGACCTGTCCTTTTCCACCAGCTAAAAACCTGACCACAAGTGCCTAGATTGGTGTATTTCTGCAAGGATGAGGAGGGGTGGGCTCCCATTGAGAAATTACCAGAAAGATGTCAGTGGGCAAAGACAGCTCAAACCCCTTCAGTGATCCGTCTCAGGAACCACGTTCCCTAGGAATACAGTTGGCAATAACACTTCATTTGCTCTACCCAAGCAGGTGTCGTTGGAGTCCAACTCTTCCATGAATTCCAACACCCCCCTGGTCCGGATCACGCGTCTCTCCTCCAGCGACGGGCCAATGCTGGCCAACGTCTCGGAGCTGGAACTGCCTCCGGATCCCAAGTGGGAATTGGCACGGTCTCGGTCAGTCAGCCCACGGGACGGGGTCCCTGTGCCTGCCAGAGGTGTCACCACTCCAGTACCCACTAACGTGCCTGCTTCTTCCTCTCTCCAGCCTGACCTTGGGGAAGCCTCTCGGCGAGGGATGTTTTGGCCAAGTGGTGATGGCAGAAGCAATTGGGATTGATAAGGACAAGCCAAACAAGGCCATCACAGTAGCTGTCAAGATGTTAAAAGGTAGGGGGTGTCCACGTAGGGCAGAACAGCTCATTGCACTGGGGTTTCCTCTCATGCAACAAGCTCAGATAGAGTTTGCAGAAATTTGGTTGACAAACTCCTTCTTGAAGAGTTTCTTCATAGAACAAACTTGATCCCAAACTCCTGAGAAGTTAAAAAGAATGCCAGGAGTGGGGGAGTCACTGAGCACCTCCAGATGAGTCTGTTTCCCATCCTTCTACTGCGCACAGTAACCACAGACAACACACAGACAAAGTCACCCTGAGGAGTTCAGCTGGAGCAAGCAGGGCAGATGGTCTAGCAGTGAGCAGCCTGAGGTTGAGGTTACATGGGGTGACATCTTTAAAAAAATTGATATTTATCAGAAAAGGATTCTTTTAAGTTATATTGCCTTCAATCCATTCTGAAGTTGTTTTTGGAAGCAGGAACGTTTCCATCTTTCCAAACCAAAGCATTCATTTGAAGAGTTTTTTTCCCCATTTCCTACTTATGTAGAAAAATTCTTCTACTTTTGTAGAAAAACTGCAGCTTTCCATGGAAAAAATACATTCCTTTCTGTAATCCCTCTCCCAGCTCTGACCTTCCACCTTCCTTATCTCTTTGCCCCTATAGATGAGGAAAGGAAACAGAAAAGCAAAAGGATCTCAAGGCACCAAATCTGACTTTGTTTCTGTAATACTTACCAGGATGAAACAGAAGATGAAAGGCTTTATTGATTTCCATGTGAACATTTGTCTCCATGTATTTGATTTTTAATCTTTTGTTTTTTGTGGTAGTAGGTTTTGGATTTGTTGTTATTATTATTATTCCCAAAGCAGAATGAAAACAAACACTGCCATACTTTGATTGCTATTTCCCCATCAAAGCTGCACACAGGTATGCAGCAGTTGTATTATCTACTTCCCAAAACAATTTCTTCCTAGCAACTCTTTGCTTTCCTCTCTTGCTTTCTCCAGATGATGCCACAGACAAGGACCTTTCTGACCTGGTTTCTGAGATGGAAATGATGAAAATGATTGGGAAACATAAAAACATTATTAACCTCCTCGGTGCCTGCACACAGGACGGTAGGTAGCAAAGCAGCCTGGTGCTCGCAGGGTTGTGGCAGGCTCAGGTTTGACTGTCCCTCTGTGTGATTACTGACTGGTTGCCCAAACTGTCCCAGCTGAGATTTCAGCGGTGAGCTGTTCCTCAGCTGGATGCTGATGGGCTCTTTTTTGTAGGACCGCTCTACGTGTTGGTGGAATACGCATCAAAGGGGAACTTGCGAGAATACCTCAGGGCACGTCGCCCACCTGGCATGGACTATTCTTTCGACACCTGCAAGCTGCCTGAGGAGCAGTTGACATTTAAAGATCTGGTTTCCTGTGCCTACCAGGTGGCCCGGGGCATGGAGTACTTGGCATCTCAGAAAGTGAGTTGAGAAACCTCATTTGGTAGATGTGTCGGTCAGACCCGTGTGTTCAAAGGCATTCAATGCTGTGTTTGTGTGTCGGACAACCTCAGGTAAAACAGTGCAGACTTCTCCCTTTAGAGATCAGATTTTTCAATATGAAGTATCTAGGGTTTTCTGGTGGAGGCTTCATCTGGATGCAGAAGTTCCCGTATGCTGGCTGGATCCAGGAACTGTGCAGCTGTACAGCCCTCACTGTCACCTGCAGGCCCATTAGCAGCCCCAGAATGCATGTAAAAGCACCAGCAACTCAGACATTGGTGCCTGTCCTCAGCAATTCAACCTCTAGCACTTGTAGATGTGTGATCCTGAGGCTCAGGCAGCAGTGGTCAGAAGGAGCACCATGCCAGGCTGTGACCTTCCACTGTGGTTACAATGATTAACCAGGTTAGGTGTCAACAGCCAGGAGCTACAGGCACCTCTGCCCCCCTTCTCCCTTCTGAGATTGGTAAAGATGCAGAACCCCAACAGAGAAGCTGAGATCTTGTGTGTAGCACATGTTTGTGGCTGTCACCAGCACATGTAGGCTCAGTGGGAAGAGAGATGGTGGTGGCTTTGGCTGGTTGCATGGCCATGCCCAGAGTGCTCCCTAGAGAGCACTTTACTGGCGCTGAGCCGGGTGCTTCATTTGCTTACATCTTATCCTGGGATTAATCCCGATCTGCTCTGACATCAGCAACTGGAGAATCAGGCTCTGGGTTCACAAAAGCCAGCGTGACCTGCTTTTCAGGCAGGGAGCTCTACGGCAAGAGCAAGTTCAGCTTCAGATGTCAGGTGTGTTCATCCCAAGACTGCATTTCAGGGTGGATGGTTTGTGGCAGCTTTAAATTCCCTTTCTGCACCATGCAGACCAGTTCAGCTTCTTTCTCAGTTAACAACTGTGAAGTATTTTGGATGTGTTCAGGATGTCTTAACGTGAGGATTTTTCTTCCTTCAAACACCAACCTGCACTCCTCTTCCTGGAGGAAGCAGGGCAGAAAGACAGCCCCACACCCAGCTGGCTTTTCATCTGGGCATCCCTTCTGGAGCGAGAAGCCGCGTGGCTGTGTCGGCACCGAGGCTGGTGATTAGGTGTTGCTAAGAGGTGGCTCCCGCCGAGCATGCATGACGGGGCAGTAGCACAGCGAGCGAGGAGCTGAGCAGTGCCCACAGCTTTATGAGCTCGGGAGTCAATGAAACGGCAGCTCATAAACCACGCGGTGCCGTTGGTTCCAGGCGTGAGCAGCTAACAAGCCCTTTTTTATTGACTTGCTCACCTTTCACAGTGCATTCATCGCGACTTGGCAGCCAGGAACGTGTTAGTCACTGAAGACAATGTGATGAAAATAGCTGATTTTGGCCTCGCTAGGGACGTTCACAACATTGACTATTACAAGAAAACCACCAACGTAAGTACAGAGCTGCCAAGCACATGCAGTTCTCCTGGCAGGGAACTCGGTCATTCCTGCAGCGATTAGCCCTTGTCTCACCCCTCCCTTTCTAGAGGGCCTTAGGAGGAAGAAACCTGCTGGTGGCCTCACCTAGTGAGGGACCATAGAGATGGTGGTCCCAGGAGTCCATCCACCATCTGTTTTCTTCCTGACAGATACTGTTGCTACTAGCAGCTGGTTGTGAGGTCTTCTCTGCCCTGGGGGCTTTAGACTAAGAGAAACAGTTTTTACCAAAGGGGAGTGGAGCCCTTTCCAGTCTGCTCCACTGCTGTTGATAAGGGTTCCAAGGAGCCAACTGCTCTCCCACCAGAGCCCTTGACAGAGGAATGTCACTTTTTGTATACCAGGACCTACCTGGCGTTTGCGCATTTCTCTTTCTTTTTTACAACTGAGCTCCTTGACTCTACTGCCAAGGGTGAGAAGATGGTCCCAGACAAGGGCTGAGTCCTGGAGTTGTTTGTTTTCTGTAGAAATGGATTTATGAATGAAGGTCTGGAGGGAAGACTCGTGTCTTGGTTCAGAGCCCTGCAGCAGATGTTGAGCTCTGAGGAAAAGCCACAACTACAGCAGAGTGTGGAGATGGCAGTGGAAAAGGTTGAGGACATTGCAGAACCTGAGGGCCTTGCAGCTGCAAGGAGTCTAAATGTCCAGGCAGTCCTACAAAGCCCACCATGCCCATACTGATCCTTTCCAATATCGCATCAGAAACCATTCTTAATTGGCAGGCTTTCTCAATCATAAATTAATAAAATTTCATGGGGGTTTTAATCATAGATCAGATGGATTTTCTGTGTTTGAGCTGTGAGGAATGTGTTGGACAGCTGAGAGCATAATCCCATTTGTGCATCCTGCCTATGTCCCATCTCTAGTTGTCTCTCTTAGCGAGAGGATGGGTCAGAAGAGGACAGAGTTCCCCCATAGGCAAATGATGCCTCAGACATGAAACAGTCCTTTCTGACTTTCCAGGGGCCAAGCAAAGCCCCAAAGAATTATGATTAATCTGGTCTTTCTCATCTCACACCTCTCACATGTGACAGCCCATGTTTATGACCCTTATGTAGAATGTTCACCTGGAAATCTGGGATCAGGTCTCCTCCTTCAGTCTCCAACAGGATGAGGATATGTTTCTTGAAGGATCTGGCCCTTTCCTTCACCCGTGGGAGTTTTCCTTCAAGTTCAACCTAAGCCGGGTTTGGACTTGGAATTAAACTGCTTCTTCCAGCCAACAAGACAGAAAGTGTTGTCCCATGCTCTGCTGCAGAGCTCACTGCATTTCTGAGCAATAGATGCTGTTCCCATGCAAAGATTTAGATGCTCTGATACGTTAAACCTGCCTTGGCAGTGAAATACAGCCCTCTACAGAGAGCATTTACTGCAAAGATTGTCAGCAAAGATCCAGGGATCAAACGCTCTAATCTGTTTATATGTGGCCACTGCTGCTTTGCCCAGTGAGCAGGAAGGCAGATGTGGTTGTTAATGAAAATGTTTCAAACTGGATTAGAAAAGAAGATTCAGATGGTGCCGTTGTGGCTGGGGGAATATGCTGATGGGATGTTCCCATTGTCTTCCTAATTACAGGGTCGGCTGCCTGTGAAATGGATGGCTCCAGAAGCCTTGTTTGACCGGGTCTACACTCACCAGAGCGATGTGTAAGCATACCCCATACCCACAATTTTTTAAAAAATAAAATGACAGGGAAACCAACACCTGTAGTGTCTTAAAGACAAACATGCTGCTACGCATGAGCTGGGCTCGTTCGTTGCTGGGGCGCCTGGGGATGCAGAACCAAAGGAATCTTTTCCAAGCTGCAGCTTTGCACACGTGGTTTTATTTTACCATTATCTAGTTGCTTTCATCTGAGGATCTCTAGTGAGCTGCTGAAAAATTATTGGAGGGCAGTCAGGTATGTCTTGTCCAGTTTATAGATGAGGTGGTTCATCCTGCAGTCAAAAAAATATGTGCAAAAAGAACTCCTTTCTGAAAAAAATCACCCTCGGCTTCCTCCACGTTTTGCCCCAGACTGTTACGTTTCAGTTGAGTACATGGGAAGAGCTTGAAATATTCTCTCTGCTGTTAGAGTTGATCAGAGAATATTCAACAAATAAATTCTCAGGTTAATTTAATTTATTTGCCCTGACTTTTCTGAATCCTGTCCTGTCCGTTTTGGTGCCTCTGGGTTGTGAGCAAACAGCAGAGGCCATATTACACGTCAGTCTGTAGCCCATCTGAACTTTGCAAGGGCTGAAGTAGCTCAGCATGCACACCAACACCAGCTTTTTTATTTCAGTATTTGGTTGATAATGGCATTTTTACAGTAATTCAGCAGCCAGCCTGCCTGCTCCTCGGGGCTCGCCGCTTGCAGTTGGATAAATGAATCTTTTCTATTTCTGTATTTTTCACATACTTTGGCTTTTATTGATCTTAAATCATAGTTTCCATGCTTAGGTAATGCTGCAGCAGGCATGACAGATAAATCAAAGCTAGAGAATGGGGAGCGAGAGTGCATGAAAGTGAAACAGAGACAGATAATCCCTGTTTTCAAAAAGAAAATGAAGAAGGCAAAAGATATTTTTGAAAAAGAGGACTTTCAACCAGAGCACAGCTGCAGGACTGGAGTGTGTAACATTAGTGCTCTGCTGATTTTTGTTGGGGTATTTTTCTCCCATCTTGGCCAGTGAAATGAGTGTTGTAACAAGCAAGTTTTGGTATCAGCTTGCACAATTAGTGGCCTGTGGTTCCAAGCCTGCAATTCAGTGAAGCTGTGCATGAATAATTTGATTTGTTCCATTCAGTGGAGCTGGTGGAAGACCTAACAAAGAGCTGGGGGTGATAGATGGGCTGTCACCTATCTGATTAAATGCTCATTTCAATTTCAGACTTGGTGCCTGGGATTTCTTTGCTATTGAGTTGGATCAGCAGAGATCTCCAAGTAACTAGTAAAAATGGCCTAGGCAATTAGTCATGCTATTGATGACTTTGTTAGCTATGCATGGCTGAACAGAAATAAAGCCAAGCGGGCGGGGAGGGGACATGGGGGGGCTTGGAAAAAAAACCTCATTGAATTTTAAAGATCTTTCTTTGGTTTCCAGCTGGTCTTTTGGAGTGCTACTATGGGAGATCTTCACTTTGGGAGGGTCTCCATACCCGGGAATTCCCGTTGAGGAACTCTTCAAACTCTTGAAGGAAGGCCATCGGATGGACAAACCCGCAAACTGCACCCATGATTTGTGAGTGTGTGCGGGGGGTGCCCTCCTTGCCCTGCTCCCCCTTTCCTCTGTGGCCAAACACCACCCCAGGCCGTGGTTTGAGTTGCTGGGGCGTCCCCACTGTGAGATGTGAGGCCATCTCCAGGTAGGAAGAGCCTGCCCTGGCTCAGCGGGTGGCTGCTGGGGGTGTAGCTCTGGTGTGTCAGCTTTAAGACAGGTCCTCCTCCTGCTCTGAGAGCGCAGACACACAGGACACCATCAGTGACGTGGCCCCACAGAACCCTCCCTGCAGCTGGCCATGTGCCAAGGCCACCACGGCTGAAGTTGCGTTTGCCATAGCTCTTCTCTCAGGCAGTTTGGGGCGGGTGGGCAGGGGGTGGGTGCTGCTTAGCCCCACCGTGGGTGACGGTCCCTTCTCCTGCAGGTACATGATCATGCGGGAGTGCTGGCACGCTGTCCCCTCACAGCGGCCCACCTTCAAGCAGCTGGTGGAAGACCTGGACAGGGTCCTCACCGTGACGTCCACCGATGTGAGTGTGGTGGGGTGGGTGCGGGGAGGGGTCGGTTGGTCCCCGGCAGGTGGCATGTGGCGTTGATGGGTCTGTCGCCCTGGCAGGAGTACCTGGACCTCTCGGTGCCCTTCGAGCAGTACTCGCCAGCCGGCCAGGACACTCACAGCACCTGCTCCTCAGGGGACGACTCGGTCTTTGCACATGACCTGCTGCCCGATGAGCCCTGCCTGCCCAAGCACCCCCCCTGCAACGGCGTCATCCGGACGTGAGGATCCCCCGGACGGACGGATGGATGGATGGATGGACAGGCAGCGTGCCCATGGAGGTGTGGATGTAGGGCGCCGAGGATGAAACCATAGTGAAGGATCTTCCAGTGGAACTGCGTGGTGGTGCCCAGAGATTTGTGTTGTTGTTGAGCTGTTCAGGGTGAAAAAAGAAAAAAGCCCACAACTTTATTTTTGGTTGGTTTTCTTGTTGGGTTTTTTTCCCGTTTGCTGTACAAAAAGTCAAGAAGCACTGTTCGGCCTGAAGGAACTAATCTCTTGCCAAGATGATCTATCATATATGATTTTTTAAAAAATTTTTATTTTTTGTTTTCAGTGTTTTTTGTTTTTTTTTTTTTAATGTTTTACTAAGCAGAATGTTGAACCTGGGGGGCACTGACCTCCCAGCCTCCGCGCCTGCGTTCGAGTGCCAGAGTAGCCGTTCTGTGCCTGCAATACGAAGAAGAGAAAAACAAAAAAAATCTTCCTTTTTTTAAAAAAAGAACACAAACAGAAAAAAAAATGTAAAGAATGTAGAAATTCTTTGCTTATGCAATCTGTACATGAACCTTTTTGGTGGAGCTGAAAAGCCACGTTGCCTGCAGGGATTCATATATATTTATAAAAATATCTATATTTTTGTTGTCGTCGTTTTTATAGCTTCATGATCATACTACCCAGCTACATAGAAGGAATCCTTTTTGGAAGAAGAAAAAAAAAAAAGTAAAATGCAAATCATCATGGAGGAAGGAAAAAATAAAAAGTAAGAAAAAGAAGTGGTCAAATCATCTGAAGTGGCAGCGCTTTGGCCACTGGCCCTTGCCCTGGGCTGGGAGTGATGAGACTGTGCCAGGGTGGGAGCAGACCCTGGGCACCAGCAGAGACCCAGCAGTGGCCTTGGGGTTCCCTGGGGAGGAGAGCATCCCCCATCCGAGAGCAGCAGGGAACCTGGCTCCTGGGTGCCCACATGGCATCTCAAACCACATCTCAACCTTTGGGAACAGCTGTTTTTTGGGGAAAAAGAAATAAATCTCGTTTTTCGGGGTTTGCATATTTTTGCTTGCCAAGGGTGAGTGGGAGGTGAGCAGCTCCTCCACCCACCCCTCGATGCCAGCAGTGTGGCTCCATCTATGTGCAGTGACTAGGAGAAAGAAGTTACGGGTACCTGTAGGCAAGAGCCTTTAACTTATATCAAAAAGGTTTATTCCAGAGAATCTGTGTATATATCT